GGAAGATAATTCTTGATAGAGCAGTGAAAAGACAGAAAAATGACCCCGACGCTAGAGCAGTAAAGCGCCCTTTCAAAGTGGGTGACGTTGTCCAGTATGCAGACTCAACACACACAGTGAGTCGAAACCAGATGGTGAGCACTAACAAGTGGCGTGGTCCACTGGTCATTAGCCGAAAACTACGGCATAACTTGTTTGAGGTAGAAGGAGAGGGACGGATGACGTTCAAAATTATTCATCATGAACGCCACTGTAAGCTGAGTCATGACCCTGACACGCCAGATTGGAATAAAGTCAGGGCCTCGACAAGTTCTCCAGGAAAATGGGCATGGGGCACTGACAGTTTTCTCAAATATGGAATGTGTTAATTATTTTATGACATGACAATCTTTTAGATAGACATAAGAGTAAATGAAATAATGTGCTCTAATATTTAGGTTGGATAAATGACATTATTGCTTAACGATTTCGGTAGAATTTGATGCATGATGCAAAAATTATAGATTTTTGTTTGTAGTGAAATTGTAACATTTTTTTTATGTTGAAGTTTGAAATGAAGGGTTTGAGTCGAAGGTGTTTTTACTTACATTTGATTGCAATTTTTAATTAAAAACTTTAAATAAAAAAATTATTTTATTTTATTTTCTTGCAGTCTGTTCGGCCTAAAATGTAAAATCATTTTTTTTTATCTATTTCATTGAAGGGTTTTAAAAGCCATGCAGATGAATCTGATAAAGAACGAATAAATCAAATAATGGAGAGAGCAGTTGAAGATGCTGACTGGGTTCTGCTTAAGGTAAATAAACTAAATTAAATAGAAATAATTTTTAAAAAGATATTTGGAACGGATTGTTATTGTTAGTAATTCAATGTTTTGAGATTAAAGTGGAAGTGTTTCATAATCTAACAGGTTATCAAAGAGAATCAAAATGTGTTATTGCACATTCTAAAATATGTCCCAATTTTTTGTTCATTACTTATGAAACATTAAGCTTTTTTTCAACAAACATGCTCGTAAACAATTTTGTATTTAAAATGGAAAAAGCAACATTATTTTAACACAACTCTAAATGGTGTAGCTGGTTTTTACTTAATTCCAATACTATTTTCCTTAAGTTGCTTATATTTAATAGAAAGTCTGATCTGAGCTATTGCTAAATTGCCTAGTTTTTTTATTTACTTATTTTTCAGTATGCAGAAAAGCAAAAGAAATGAATGATATCGGTGACAGGACTCTCAGGTGTTTGAAACAGTTCAGCCAGCTTTTCCCAACTGAGCTGTCAAGTCTGCTGTATTGTCCTATTTACCATGACGAACTCGACAAGTGAACTGGTCCAGAACAGTAACAAAACACACAGTCTTGATTCAACGCACGCAGATCATACTCCTACAATTAAGGAAAGGAAAACATTTTTTCCCCTACGTGACTTTGTAATGGTACAAGATGGATGTGAAATGAGGCAGGGAGTTGTGGTCATTACATTGAACCTAGTTACCTCACGGGCTTCGGACATTGCATGAATCTGTTGTTCAAGGATTGAAAATTCTGTGGAGAACTTTTCACTTATCTTCTAAAAAAACACTATCATTATTTTTAGCTCAGGCTTCGTAAGCAGTAAAGTAGTTATTTGTTTATATGTATACCGGGTCAGGTTATTTGATAGATATTAAACCAATATATTATAATTTACAAACCATTTGTTTCTTACAATCTTTTTCACTGGAATGTTGCATTCAATATCATAAAGAATTCAATACTAAATAATAATAATACTACAAGCTGGTAAAAGCAAAAGTTAGAACTTGTAGAAGACTTAATGACCAATCTGGAGAACAGCAAGCAAACTGACGTGCTGGTGATGGACTTATCAAAGGCTTTTGACTGTGTCAATCATAGTTTGTGTTTACACAAACTTCAGAGATATGGCATCCAAGGCACCACTAAAACATGGATCTCTAGCTTCCTCAGCAACCGGTGCAAGCTCCCCCTTTGTCGGTGTTAAGTCAGGGGTCCTTCAGGGCTGGCTGCTAGGCCCCTGTTTGTATCTAGCATACATCAATGACCTACCTGAGAAAGTGACATCGCAAGCAAGACTGTTCGCAGATGACACGGCAGTGTATAGGACAATCATCAACAGATCTGACCAGGACCAGCTACAACAGGATCTCAATCTGTTAGCTGAGTGGGAGATGTGCTAGGACATAGAATTTCATCCTGCCAAGTGCCAGACACTGTCAGTCTCTAGAATTTGTACTCCTCTACACCACCATTACGAACTGCATGGCCATATACTTGAGCCAGTTTCCCTCGTAAGGTACCTGAATGTTACTATTCAAAGAGAGGTCCGCTGGGACGAGCTTATTAACAATGTGTGCAACCAGGCAAACAGAACCCTAGGGTTCTTAAGGCGTAATCTTAAGATCGCCAACTCTAGTGTGAAAGAAAGAACCTATAAAGCCTTTGTCTTTCCGCTTTTAGATTATGTATCTTCAGTCTAGGACCCATTTACCCAGAAGAGCATCGACAGTTAGGAGGCGGTCCAGCGAAGGTCAGCACGTGTTTTGTCCTGAACAGCTACAGGAATACCTCTAGTGTTGGCAGCATGCTGGAAACACTGGACTGGTCACCACTTGAGGAATGACGATTACTATTCAGTCTTTCCATAATGTACAAGATTAATAATGGGCTGGTCCACTGCTCCAGCATTAAACAGAAACTCATCCCTCTCTCCCATTGACAGCGATGAGACCATGACAGACAGTTCCGGCTCATACCAGCGAGAAGCCAGTGTAGGAATTGCTCATTCCTGCCAAAGACAATCAGGGACTGGAACAAGCTTCTAAAAGGAACAGTTGAGGCGACAACACTTGACACAATTGCGTCTATTGCCACAGGCTTTCCAACCCCCAGTGCATGATACCATCACTAAGTGAAATATCCTCATCAACACCAGGCATAGGAACATTGCAAATCCCCTCTACTTGCATGGAGCCAGAATGATCAATAAATTTATCGTGGGCCCTTAATATATAGAAGAAGAAGAAGATCAAGATACTATAAATTATTATTATTTTTTTTTTACATGCTCCAATGATGTCATTGTTTTTTTACTGGTCTGATTTTGTTTACTGTTAGTAAGTGTGAGTAAATCCCATTGAACTTAGATATCCCAGAGTGTGACGGTGGGTACATCCCAATGAACTTAGATATCCCACCCATTGTGTGAGTACATCCTATTGCATTTAGATATCCCAGAGTGTGAGTACATGCCATTGAACTTAGATATTCCATTGTGTGAGTACATCCTATTGAACTTAGATATCCCAGAGTGTGAGTACATCCCATTGAACTTAGATATTTCATAGTGTGAGTACATCCTAATGCACTTAGATATCCCATAGTGTGAGCACATCCTATTGAACTTAGATATCCCATAGTACATCCTAATGAACTTAAATATCCCAGATTTATTCTCCATAGGTGGACAACCTTAACCATTTACATCAAAGTTCTTTTATTTTTCTATCCCTGGAATTTGGAACTTTAAAAAAAAACCATTGGACAGCGGTGATATCTTCATCCTGATCCTCTTAGTCCTAGACCTCGGTGCGGCCTTTGATACTGTTGACCATGGAACCCTTTACAAAACCCTTGAAAATTACTTTGCAATTTCTGGTTCCGTTTTGGCTTGGTTTAGGTCCTACCTCTTCGATAGGAAGCAGGCGGTCGCTGTTGATGGCTGTCCGACATTGCTGACTTGATGTACGGAGTGCCACAGGGGTCCGTTTTGGGCCCGGTTTTGTTCATGATGTATACCAGGTCACTGCTCCTCTTGCTCGGGAGGCATGCTGTGGAGAGCCAGTCATTCGCAGATGACACGCAGCTATACAAGCACACCCATCCCTCTCTTGCCGATTCCGCTGTGAATATCAAGTCATGGATGAAACTAAGCAAGTTGAAGCTTAACGATGATAAAACGGAAGCACTCCTTATTCACGATCACAAATCATCCTCTAACTCGACTCTCCGCACTTCATTTCAAGTAGGTAACTCGGACATACCGTTAACATCCTCCGCTAGGAATCTTGGTTATATTCTGTCTAACATGTCTCTTGATAATCATATCTCTTACTCTCACATTTGTCACTCTGCAAGCACCGCTATCCGTCGAATCAGCTTCATCGCCACTACCTCACAGTGAGTCCAACAAAAACCCTAGTCTATGCTCTTGTTCTATCTCGTCTTGACTATTGCACCTCTCTTCTGTCAGGTTCACCAAAACACTTCTTAGAAAAATTACAAAAGGTTCAAAACTCAGCTGCTTGGCTAGTTCTAAAGACAAAAAAACGTGATCACGTCACACCACTACTTTATTCACTCCATTGGCTCCCTGTGCAAGCACGGATTGACTACAAACTCTCTGTTATCTGCCACAACCTTTTCTCGAATTCTTGTCCTTCATATCTCACCGAAAACTGTCTGTCTGTCTGTCTGTCTGTCTGTTCACCCCTTCGACAGCTTTGCTCCTCCGCAGACGCGCGTATTCTTTCTGTCCCCAAGACTCGCACAAAAACATACGGTGAACGATCTTTCTGTGCCCCTAAACAATGGAATTCTCTTCCATTACACATCCGCCATATCCCGATCATCACATCCCTCAAAACTGCATTAAAAACACATCTTTCTAAACTCTACTATTCTGACTGATTCCCACGTCTGACCGAAAAAATGATGCTACTGGGTGCCGTCCATGGCTTGACATGTACATAATTTTATATATACATTTGTTTTGTTTTATTTAATTAATGTATGTTAATTAATTGTTTACGTTCATGATTATGTTTTCTAAATTGTATGTAGAGCAACGTGAGCCCAGCCCTAGGCTTGGGTACTACGCTATATAAAAAACACTTAAAATAATACTATTTATTTATTTTATAAATTGCTTTGTTCTAGTGTTTGGGTGTCAAAAAAGAAGAAAAAGCCCCAACTTCACACATTTGTGTATACTGATATTTAATAAAATATAATATTTGGTTCAAGAAGAATCACTTTACTACATGCATTTACATTTACTAGTATGGTAGTGGTAGCAAAATGGTTCTCATACAGCAAACTAAATCTTCTAAAATAAATAATATAAATGACATATGGACACACTAGAATGCTCTATAATAACATGAACACAAATGTACATAATGAAAGAATAATTATTATACATATGGTACACGACTGCATGCTCTGTTGGAGATTTCATGACGGTTCAAACTAATGGTAATTTGGGCTTAGGACTGATGATTGAGAACGGTACACGTTTGAGAGAACAGTTCCCGCATTCAAGGCCATGACAAGAAACATTTCTAATGAGGGTGAAGACTACACTCTTTAATGTGGCTTAGTAATGGCTACGGGACTAAAAGATGAGAGAATAGCACTTCTTCCTGGAACTTCAAGTGTAGTCTAGTTAACTAGACATACTAGCCTAATAACCTGGATATCACAGCCAGGAACGTGGATATTAAAGCATAGTCTCTTGAACATTCTAGGTAGTTTAGTTACCTGTATTGTCTAGATTTATCACCTGGACTTTCTAGCTCAGTTACCTGGTCATTCCATTTGCATACCTAGATTTTCTAACGTAGTTAACTCGACTTTCGAGTGTAGTCTACGGGTTCATTTAAAAAGTAGGTCACACTCGGAAAAGGGGGGGGGGGAGGGAGGGGGTCTAATAAAGTGACACGGGAGGGAAAGGGGTGTTTGGACAGTACGTGACGTCACACATTTTTTTCTTTAATCAAAGGTCTAAAAAACCTGGTCATTCCATTTGCATACCTAGATTTTCTAACGTAGTTAACTCGACTTTCGAGTGTAGTCTACGGGTTCATTTAAAAAGTAGGTCACACTCGGAAAAGGGGGGGGGGAGGGAGGGGGTCTAATAAAGTGACACGGGAGGGAAAGGTGTGTTTGGACAGTACGTGACGTCACACATTTTTTTCTTTAATCACAGGTCTAAAAGCTGAAATTGACATTGCTGTTGTGCTGGATGTATTCTGACAGAAGATGTCACTTAATTGTGTCTAATTTTAATTAGTGAAGTGTGTTTTAGATTTAAAAAACTAAAAATGAGTTGTTACCTGTGATTAAAACCAAAAATTAGTTGTTACCTGTGATTACAACCAAAAATTAGTTGTTACCTGTGATTAAAACCAAAAATTAGTTGTTACCTGTGATTAAAACCAAAAATTAGTTCCAAATTTGAAAGTGTGACGTACTTTTTTTTTTGGCCCGGGGGGGGGGGGGGTTTAATTTTAAAAAAATAGCTCGCCGCACCTTGTGGTCGGCCCATCCGGACCGATGAGCCACATCTTTTGATTAAATGTGACCCACATTAGATCTAGCCAACATTTAATGATACCCCAGCACTACTTTTCTCATCAATATAAACCGGTAATCAGTAAATTCTTTTTATTTCTCACTTTCAAACCCGTCTTGACAATCTCACCTACAAATTTATAAATTTAAATTATTATCTTTTACCATCTAGTATTATTGGATGGCTATAAAAAACAATGGCGAGCTGACAGTCATGAGTTATCTATCCCTTGATACGTTAAGTAAATAAAGACACAGCAAATATTTAAATAAATCCTGCGAGACGATGGAGTAGCTATGGACACAGCTACTTAGTTAAACTTAGTCGGGGTGGTGTTTTATGGAAGTCAGTTGTTGACCAACGCAGCAGATCTCCATTCTCCAGGCAGCCAGTAGGTCAATTCAAATTGACACTAACTGAGTCGCAGCAGTTGCCGAAATGACATTGGCATTTACATTATATATACCACTCTGCATATGTGACACCCGTAAATATGACATTGAAAACTTCTATTTAGAAAAACGCAGTAAAAAAAAAAGAGGTGGGGTGAACAGAGTGTTGGATATTTCCTACAAATCCGCCTTTGCCATCATTCTGCACACGTTACCCACGGATGTGTGACTCGCACCGGCATGAGATGTGCTCCTAATGATTACACCGGTACAATCAAACGTGACACGTGCAGTTAGATGCTCGCCAGTGCAGTTAGACGCTCGCCAGTGCAGTTAGACGCTCGCCAGTGCAGTTAGATGCTCGCCAGTGCAGTTAGACGCTCGCCAGTGCAGTTAGATGCTCGCCAGTACAGTAGTGTTGTTCTTGAGAAACTCGGCTGGAATGTTACCAAAGTCAAACAGGAGATCTCCAAGGGTTCCCGTCACGGCTACCAGACATGGCACGGCCAATATGTTCATGACGATTCCAGTCTTGACCTGGACGGAAAAACATTAAACTTCAGTGAAAAAAATGTATATTTAATGATTCTCAAACTAGTTTAAGGATACCCGCAGGTGAAAAATTGCTACATTTTTTTTTTTTTTTTTTTTTTTTGGGGGGGGGGGGGGGCCCTTTTTTTAACTATATTAAAAGAGAAATGAAAAAATCTATATTATGTCACATTGAAATACAAAACGCAACATTACAAAAACTACATACGAGAATACCCATTCTAAGTCTTTCATACCTTGCAACCATAAACAAAACATGCCACTATACATCCAGGAGATAATAGCTAGCTGGAAAAGATGGTAGACAACATCACCTCAACCGGTGTTTGCGAAATAGATATGTTTTCAAATCGGTTTTGAAAGACTCCAGTGTCTGGCTGTTTCTGTGAGCGACAGGAAGTCTCCAAGGACCTAATATGCACACCCACCCCAAACAGAGCCAGTGCACATTACATCAAGACCCATTAAATTAAGTCAAATACATTGATCTGCTAAATGTATGATTTATCTATTCGTGGAATGTAAAATAAATTATTTTTAACAAGTGCTCACCATGTCAGCTATCGAGACTCTTCCGTACTCACCATGTCAGCTATCGAGACTCTTCCGTACTCACCATGTCAGCTATCGAGACCCTTCCGTAGGCCAAAACTATGGCGTTTGGCGGTGTAGCCACAGGCAGCATGAAGGCAAACGAGGTAGCCATGGCTGTCGGCAGCATGTAGTACAATGGGTGAACACCCGTATTCATAGCCTGAGCAGTGTGAGAGCAACGTGGCATAGATATTAAGTATACAATTAATTGAAAATGGCTATTTATTTATTTAGCACTGTCAAGTCTGTAAAATTATTACACAACTGTTCCTTTTATTTACAATGACGTTTGATTCAAATATAAAGCAATCTATATATTGCCCAAAGTGAGTTTGTTTTTTGACGATTATGTTTTATTAGACTTAAAATGACTACTGAACCCAGAGAGCTGAGATTTCGAAAACGATTTGTATTAGTGAAGGATTGCATCACAGAAGAAAAGAATTTGACTTTCCCCCCCCCCCAAATTAATTTTTAAAAAAAAGGAATAAAAATGTTGACTATTTCTTTACCAGCTCTGACATGATAGGGAGCAGTAGTGTCGCCATCGCGCTGTTGGACGTGACCTCTGTGGCCAGGGAGGCAATGGAGCAGATGACGAAGAGAATGGGCCATTTGTTCCACTCTGTGAAGAACTCCAACTGGTGACCCACCCACGACGACAGGCCAGATTTCTGAGGAATGACAAGCACAAACATGTAGGGTTATGCTAACCGCCTTCTTGTAGCGCCCACAAATAGTGATATCATCATTTTATAGAAACGGTCTGGTTGTGGTAGTGGTAGTGGCCGGTACAGGGAAAATTGAATGCGACGATTTAAACATTTGTGTGTGTGTGAGGGGGTGGGGGGTCAATTTAAAAAAATGGTAAATCTAGATTAAAATGTTATCACTCGACCTATTTTGTATTTTTTAAAATGTCAGGGCAGTGATTATTCAATTTGGGTTACATCGGGCAAGTCACTAGGCACTGGAACAGATATCCCGACGATGAGATCGTATGACCGGGCATACTAATAAAACTACCAATGGTGGACCTACCTCACGACATGCAACGTCCATGATTTAAAGAGGTCAACGGTGTGGTAGATTCAGATAGGGCTTGGATTCGCACAGGGTTTTTATGGTGGGTGATGCGTAAGTCACGGTGGATGGCTCTCATGAACCGTTTATGAACCGAAGAGCAGTGTCCGTGAATATTTTGAGAACCAATGGTATAGTCCAGAGGTCTCCAAATATTTATATAGCGCTGCCTTAGCATTTCACGGGAGAACCACATAGACCAAAGTTTGTATGCATATATTTTGGTTATCCAGTACTTGAGTATTTTGGGGACCTCATATATATCAACGAATGCACTCTATGGATGAGGGAGTGGAGCAACTCCTGGAAACCATTTGTCCAGACAGAAAGGGTGTATCAAAAAGACTCACCTCACAGCCTTTAGACAAGGCGTATCCACCACCCATCAGGAGAAACAAGTGCCAAGGCAATTTCTGGCTTGCAACCTTCCACGTTAGCAAAGGGCGGATTTCTATAGGTCCAACTGAATACACAACAAATTCAAATACTTTAATTTGTAAATACACACTTAAATGAAAACAATGAAATACCCAGTTTCTTGATTAAGACAACATAGTCGTCCATCATATGGCCACCTATAATTTGGCCACTTATAGCTTGTTCACCTATAAATTGACCACTTGTTCATAGCTTGTTCACCCATAATTTGGCCCCTTGTTTATAGCTTGTTCAGCTATAATTTGGCCACTTATAGCTTGTTCAGCTATAATTTGGCCACTTATAGCTTGTTAACATACGATTGGACAACTTTAACAAAGATAACTATGATTTGGAACTATATCATGTAATCTTATAATTTAAAGCGTTTCTGAAAATTAAGATCGATTTTGGTCAGTGGTTGATTTCTCATATTTGGCTTGAGGCCCCCAATGAAGTCGCTCCTCAAAACGTACACAGCTACAAGTAACTTCTGAAAGATCAGCGCCTGCTTAATAGATAAACTTGGTCTTCTATCTACATTAATAAGACTTGGTCTTCTATCTGCATTAATAGGACTAGGTCTTCTATCTACATTAATAGGACTTGGTCTTCTATCTACATCAATAGGAATTGATCTTCTATCTACATTAATAGGGCTTGGTCTTCTATCTACATCAATAGGAATTGATCTTCTATCTACATTAATAGGACTTGGTCTTCTATCTGCATTAATAGGACTTGGTCTTCTATCGCCATTAATAGGACTTGGTCTTCTAACTACATTAATAGGACTTGGTCTTCTATCTACATTAATATGATTTGGTCTTCTATCTACATTAATAGGACTTTGTTTTCTATCTACATTAATATGACTTGGTATTCTATCTACATAAATAGGAATTGATCTTCTATCTACATTAATAGGACTTGGTCTTCTATCTACATCAATAGGAATTGATCCTCTATCTACATTAATAGGACTTGGTCAGACTTGGTCTTCTATCTACATAAATATGACTACATTAATAGGTTTCGGCAGTCTATCCAGATTAATAATACTAGATCTTCTATATACAGTAACAACTGCGTGTTTCTCCACTCACATCTGATTGTATGTTGTTTCGTTATGTCTGATCCTTGCTTCTTGCCCCACTTCTCCGGATGAGCCGGGTCACTGTAAGACTTTAAACAGGGGAGAGTGGACGGCACGGCAAACAGTAGGACGGCGATCAAGATGGCTGCGGCGCCATCTTTCACCCTGCATTGAAGGAATCACATTGTGATGAGACAGTAAAATGGTTAGAAAAATGCTTTAAAAATCTACTTTATGCTACACCCAACACCACCCGTCACATCACAAACTTTACAGTTTTGGAAAAAGTACAGTTTAGAATTGGAAAAGGTACAGTTTAGAATTGGAAAAGGTACAGTTTAGAATTGGAAAAGGTACAGTTTAGAATTGGAAAAGGTACAGTTTAGAATTGGAAAAGGTACAGTTTAGAATTGGGTACAGTTTAGAATTGGAAAAGGTACAGTTTAGAATTGGAAAAGGTACAGTTTAGAATTGGAAAAGGTACAGTTTAGAATTGGAAAAGGTACAGTTTAGAATTGGAAAAGGTACAGTTTAGAATTGGTAAATCAAGGTAAAATTGATGACCCCGATAATTAACCTAAAATTTCCAAATGTATTCCGAAAACGAAATAAACACTCCTCATGTCAGATAAGTGAACACATGTCAGATAAGTGAACACATGAGAGATTAGTAATTACAAAAAAAAAAGAAGCAAAATAAAATGAAAATATGCGAAACAATAAAACAATAATAATGGAAAAAGCGAAACAAATGAAAAATGAAAATAGCAGAGGACGAAAAATACAATGCGATACTCACGGTGGGTTAAAAACTTTTCCCCAGCCGGTAACACCACCAAGGTCACGTGTTATCCACAAGGTAACCAAGCTCAGGAAAAGAATAATCACCATTACTTGACCACAGCTGGGAGAGAAACCGTGACAATAAACGAAGTAATTCCCAGTAAAGGGATTCAATTAAATATTATGACCCAGAAGCCCAGTAAACTAGGGTGACCAAACGTCCCGTAAAAACGGGATTGTCCCGAAAAAGTCTCTTGGGACGCCTAAATGTCCCGTTTTTTTTAACCAAGCACATTTTCTAATCAATAAAACTTCCTAATTTATAATATAGCTTCAAATAATATTTTGGCTAGCTGTGTAGCCAGTGCCAGTAGTGAGTGGGCTCGAGTGATGGCTGCACCGTTCCCCATCCACCTGTGTCCCTGCCATAGATCTTATATGTAAAGGTATAGCGAAAGACACGAGACTTGAAGCCGCAGCGGGTTTGGGGGGGGGGGTGTAACTGTGCAGAAAACAATTTTGATTCCACGACCGCTACGTGTAATGTGTTAGTCTTAAATGTAATCCCTACCGCCCTGTTCGTGTCAGAGTGACAGGTGTTTGTTTTGGGTGTTGAACTTTATTCTTTAATTTTATATTATCTTCTAATGTAAACAATAATTAATTATCCCACACGTCAATGTAAGTTTATGGGTGAGTATTCTAAAAAGTGTAACTATATTAAAAAGGGACGCTATGATAGCGAAACCGAGTGCACAGTTTGCAATAATGTTTTTAGTATTGGTCATGGTGGACACTCAGACATAAAACAACACATCACATCAGTGAAGCATAGAAAAAGACCGAGTGCCCCAAGTAGATTTCTAGGTTAGATTTAATAGTTAAAATGAGCAGATTTCAATAAACAGTTCAAGGACGAGGCACCCGGACCCCTCTTTAACTGGAGGGTATTCCCCACCCCCCCCCCAAAAAAAAAAAACACCAAAAAAACAAAAACAAAAACAAAAACNTATATATATATATATATATATATATATATATCGCTTGTGGTGAGTCCTGCTTCCTTTTCGAAACCACTCTCCTCCATGTCCACATGTTTCATTTGAATAGTAATTTGTGAAAAAAGGCTTTCATGCGTGACGTTTGAACTCAGGTACATTAGGGGGAGGCGACTATTATTATATTATGTTAATCAATAAAGAGCCACGGGTATGGTGTAGGGCTGTCTGTAGAACTGCTTGGGGCATATTGTTTAAAGGCTCGCTGGCGGAGAGTAGGACTGGCTTACGTAGGCCTATTGTTGAAAGTAACGGCCAGCAAGTAGGGCGGAGGACTCCTGTAGGACTATTGTTTAAATTTCGGCAGATCGGGTGTAGGACAGGCTCTAAGACTATTGTTTAAAAGGTCGGCAGGTATGGTTTACAACTGTCTGTATGCCTATTTCTCAAAATACCCGAACCCGGTGTAAAAATAATCTGCACCCTGCTAAGCCCCAGTAAATAATATTTTGTGATCTGTGAATGCATTATAAATTTAATTTTAAAAACATAAAAAAAAAAAAAGAATGAATGATTATAAGAAACACGCTACAACTTAATTGTAAAATAATCTACGTCCTTTGCCTCCATACAAGACGTTCAGGAAGACTTTAACAACTTACACAAAAGGCCCCAGGCTGGCGTATTCCTTTCTAATAACCTCCTTAATTCTTTTAGCCTGGTCCGCGTCTTGTTTGTTACCAGCACAGCAGCTGGATACGCCCCTGAAAATAAGTGTAATATTACAAACAAGATTATTGCCCGTCAAAATATTATAATTTAATAATTACTTTAAAAGATTGTAAAGGGGACGCGTTCAAATATTCTGAAAATGCAACGCTGTTCCAAAGAATTATTTCTCTCAAAGCGTTAATTCCAGACATACGACTTGAGCTATGTTATTTGAATTCAATTCATGTCAATATTTGGAATGTATTTGGTAATAGAAATTAATTTAAAAAATTCAACAGCTCGGTAAACCCTTTGTAACCCAAAAGAACCGTTTATGCACGCCCCTTTACTATGAGATAAATCTTAGCTTAAGTACACTCCCCCATCCCCACGACACCACGTTATGAGCTATAATTTCTAGAAATAATGCAGCATGGGCACCAAACCACGTCATCGAAAAACTATTAAAAGTTTAAAAACTTAGCTGCTAGGTTATTTTTAAAGGCAAAGTAAAGGAATCACGTCACCCAACAACTTCACTAACTTCACTGGCTCTTTTTAAAGGCACACATTGATTACATGCTGTCTGTTCTCTGTCACAACTTTTTCTCTGGTTCCTGCCCTTACTATTTTACTGAACTTCTTTCGGTCTATTCACCCCTTCGAAAGCTTCGTTCCTCCGCAAACACGCGTATTATTTCTGTTCCCACAACACGCACTAAAACATATGGTGAACGATCTTTCTCTTTCTGTGACCCAAAAAAAATGGATTTAGCTCCTATTATACACCCGCAATATAATGACCATCACAGCCTTCAAGACTGCCCTCAAGACCCATCGCTTCAAACTGTACGATACCGACTCATTCTCACGCCCATCTAACTGATAAACAACGCTGGGTGCTGTCCATGGCTAGACAGGAGTTAGATAGTCAGTTCTTGGGTGGGTGAGGTCAAGCTTTACAGCAATTATTTTTAAATGTATAATCTTCTGCAAATGCTAATTTTTTTGTGAAGCCCGGTGAGCCTAGCCCTAGGCTGGAGTACTGCAGTATATAAAACTATCTAATAATAATACGAATATGATTTTTCCGTAAAGCTAAAGATATGGTCCCATTAAATATCGAGGCTTTAGAGTAAAAAAAAATATCTTATAATATAACTCCCGAGTGGATGTTGTCCTTCCCGATTACACACGGTAATGCGACCTCATTCGCTGCTTCCCTTTCGTACGGGCCAAATTATAGAATGAGTACAACTAAGCATTGCTGGATAAATAGAGTGCCTTCTGGAATTAATATTATAGATTACGCACATCTTCCTGTATTTTGGAGACCAGTTTAGATAACACCTGTATAACATCAATAAATAAGCCCTTTGTCCAGTTTCTAAGCATTTCAATAATGCTAACCATGATGGAATCTTAGACATCGCAGTTCCTGGTATATTTTATGCAAGAAAAAAACCGGGTAAAATTTATACGGGAAATCAATTAATAACAAGATTTGGTACGTTGTCTCCATACAGTATAAACAAAATACACAATTTTACATAGCTGCCATGCCTTTGTCATGTTTGGTTTTTGAATTTTACTTCCACCCACTCCCTTTCTGTTTACATAAATATTAAATATGAATTTTTTGGGGGTACTAATGAAGGCATTTGCCGAAAGTCTATATGTGTATTCCGTACGACCATTATTAAAGCTGAACCTCTATTGTTTTATTGACACAAATTGTTAGTGTTTCATTCATCTATTTTACACGAGCGACGTGATTGGGTTGCCCCCCCCCCCAGCTAGTTTCATCTATTTTTTGTTGTAAACGCACAGTTCTGTGCGTATATATAATAAATTGTGATAACAAATGCATGCACCAAATAAAACATATCAGTGACTTAATCTCCGCGAGGCGAACTCCCAAAAGTTCTCCTAACACAAATCCTTAATATTTATTTTCTCCTAATGGATCTTTAACGGCACACTGAAAACTTTTAATTTATACCTATTTGAAAGCGCACCGATCTGAATGAAGGATGTTATATGCGGTACTTCGTTCAAGACAATGACATGTAAAGTACCCCCAGTAAATATGTAGCGGAACACGATAATTATGGGATAAAAGGATTTCGATCAAACTTTCCAGGATCCGCCTATAAGGTCAGGAGTTTCGACCATGTCAAATTTGGTTGCAATCCATTTTTCGTGTGTTTCTTGAAATAGAGTAGCAAATTAAAATACATGAATACCCCGTGAAAAGGGAGAGCTATAAAGGAGAGGTCAAACGGGAAGAGCTTAAAAGGGGAGAGCTTAAAAGGGGAGAGCTTAAAAGGGGAGAGCTTAAAAGGGGAGATTAAAAGTTGAGAGATTAAAAGAAGAGGGCTTAAAAGGGGAGAGCTTAAAAGGGGAGAGCTTAAAGGGGGAGAGCTTAAAAGGGGAGAGATTAAAAGTTGAGAAATCAAAAGAAGAGCGCTTAAAACGGGAGAGCTTAAAAGTGGACAGCTTAATTTACCTGTGGTATAAAATCTGAATGCGTACCTTTTTGTTGAATCCGATACAGCTAACGATACAGCTAACAATACAGCTAACGATACATGGCTAACGATTCTCTACTTACCTACATCGAAAGAATGCGATGATCAGCCAGGCCCAGCTGAGGACCAGCATGAGGAGAGACAGTGGGAGTCCGAACGCCATCCAGAGGCCGAACGTTACCGGGTTATGAAGGTTGTGAGCTGTGTACAGGCTGTGGGGGGTATACACGCGAGGAGTTCACGCCACTGAATCTCATCGAAACACTCATTTATGACGGTCAAGGAATTTATTTAAGAAAATTTTACCGACACCGCGGCAGTTAAGGATTAAAAACAATGGTCATTGTGTTAAACGAGATATCAACAGAAACGTATACAGAAACATAAAATGGCGAAATAATAATAGGACTGAAGCAACCCATGAGGTGGGGGGTAACATATTACAACGGGGGCTCATATTACTTTAAGGGGAGTAATAATTCGATAGGGGCTTTAATACTTAAAAGGGACTTTCCGTTGTATGCTATACATTAAGGCCTTGATAATTCCATAAGGGGCTTTATCAAACGCCGATGCTTTCATTATGGCTTTTCGTGCCACAGGGGAGAGGGGTCTTTGAAATGGACCCTCATAAAACAATTTTGTGTTTCATAATATTCCAAGGCAGCGGAATAATATCACAATTATACGAGTGTTAAATGCTTCGACTATTCAAGTTTAAGAAAGTTTTACTTTAAAATCTCAGTTTCTTATAAAAGGTATAAAGCATATGTTCAGAGCCTCTCTCCCAAACACCTCAAAAACCCCTCTCCAAATTCCCCTTCAACACCTCCCAACAACATTTCCCCCCGACAACCCTCACATCCACAACAACCCAAACCTCCCCAACTAAAGCCACCTCCCCAAAAAGCCCGACGCCCCCCCCACACAACCCCTACATCCCCTTCAAACACCACCTCCCAAACGACCTCCAACAAACACCACCTTCCCAACAAACCTCACCTCCCCAACAACCTCCAACAAACGCCACTTTCCCAACAAACCTCACCTCCCCAACAACCTACAACAAACACCACTTTCCCAACAAACCTCACCTCCCCAACAACCTCCAACAAACATCACCTTCCCAACAAACCTCACCTCCCCACCAACCTCCAACAAACACCACCTTCCCAACAAACCTCACCTCCCCAACAATTTCCAACAAACACCACCTTCCCAACAAACCTCACCTCCCCAACAACCTCCAACAAACACCACCTTCCCAACAAACCTCACCTCCCCAACAACCTCCAACAAACACCACCTTCCCAACAAACCTCACCTCCCCAACAACCTCCAACAAACACCACCTTCCCAACAAACCTCACCTCCCCAACAACCTCCAACAAACACCACCTTCCCAACAAACCTCACCTCCCCAACAACCTCCAACAAACACCACCTTCCCAACAAACCTCACCTCCCCAACAACCTCCAACAAACACCACCTTCCCAACAAACCTCACCTCCCCAACAACCTCCAACAAACACCACCTTCCCAACAAACCTCACCTCCCCAACAACCTCCAACAAACACCACCTTCCCAACAAACCTCACCTCCCCAACAACCTCCAACAAACACCACCTTCCCAACAAACCTCACCTCCCCAACAACCTCCAACAAACACCACCTTCCCAACAAACCTCACCTCCCCAACAACCTCCAACAAACACCACCTTCCCAACAAACCTCACCTCCCCAACAACCTCCAACAAGCCCCACCTTACCAACAAACCTCACCGCCCCAACAACCTCCAACAAACACCACCTTCCCAACAAACCTCACCTCCCCAACAACCTCCAACAAGCACCACCTCCCCAACAAACCTCACCTCCCCAACAACCTCTAACAAGCACCACCTTCCCAACAAACCTAACCTCCCCAACAACCTCCAACAAGCACCACCTTACCAACAAACCCAACCTCCCCAACAAACCTCACCTCCCCAACAACCTCCAACAAACCCAACCTCCCCAACAAACCTCACCTCCCCAACAACCTCCAACAAACACCACCTCCCCAACAAACCTCTCCTCCCCAACAACTTCCAACACACCCAACCTCCCCAACAACCTCCAACAAACACCACCTTCCCCAACAACCTCCAACAAACACCACCCTCCCCATCAAACCTCTCCTCCCCAACAACCTCCAACACACCCAACGTCCCCAACAAACCTCTCCTCCCCAACAACCTCCAACACACCCAACCTCCCCAACAAACCACCAGCAAACCTCACCTTCCCAACAACCTCCAACAAACACCACCTTCCAACGAATCCCCAACTCCCCCATCACCGTCAGTGACTCAAGATACAAATGAGACCAAGAGTAGCTAGGGTGGGGTGCATTGTTCGCACTCGTACAAAAAGGGTAATATGAAACACAGGGCTTAAGGTGAAAACCTGTTGGGCCTATTTTCACGGTTTCCCCTGGCCCAGTGTTTTAAATATCTGATGCATTCAACTTAAACGCGCACCTCCCAGTAATACACACAGTTGTACAATATGGTCTTAGGGTGTTAGTGGGAACTGTCCAAACTGTGCCCCGGGCTGTTGGGACGATCAGGGACACTAAAGTTTAGGGTATTGGAGCAACTCCACCAAATTATGCCACCGTCTTTTGGGGACACTCAAATTTAAGGTGTTAGGGGGAACTCCTCCAAAATATGCCACAGTCTATTGGGACACTAAAGTTTAGTGTGTTAGGGGGAACTTCTCCCAACAATGCCACTGTCTATTGGGACACTAAAGTTAAGGCTATTTAACCTACTTGTCTGTGAGACCCTTGAGAATCAGGTTGGGCCCTGTACCCGTCAAGCACGCGATCCCGCCAGCACTAGAGGCGTAACAAATGCACAGCGACAGCGCCTTCCCCATGTTGACCCACGCCGGGTCGTCCTCGTCCCCACCGTCCTCGTTCTCTTGGTCAGCTGGAACCGAGGGTGGCTTGACCATCTGAGATGAGCTGGACCTCCCCAACCAACCTCACCCCCCTACCAACTCCCAACAAACCTCACCTCCCCAACAACTTCCAACCAACACCACCTCCCCAACAAACCTCACCTCCTCAATAACCTCCAACAAACACCACCTTCCCAACAAACCTCACCTCCCCAACAACTTCCAACAAACACCACCTTCCCAACAAACCTCACCTCCCCAACAACCTCCAACAAACACCATCTCCCCAACAAACCTCACCTCCCCAAAAACCTCCAACAAACACCACCTTCCCAACAAACCTCACCTCCCCAACAACTTCCAACAAACACCACCTCCCCAACAAACCTCACCTCCTCAACAACCTCCAACAAACACCACCTTCCCAACAAACCTCACCTCCCCAAAAACTTCCAACAAACACCACCTTCCCAACAAACCTCACCTCCCCAACAACCTCCAACAAACACCACCTTCCCAACAAACCTCACCTCCCCAACAACTTCCAACAAACACCACCTCCCCAACAACCCTCACCACCCCAACAACTTCCAACAAACACCACCTCCCCAACAAACCTNCTAGAAGTGTGCAGGTAGTGGTGTAGCGTGGGTGGTGAGGGTGTCTGTGCCACACTGTCCAATACTTTAAAAAAAAAAAAAAATATATCGCTCTATTGACAAACGGATTTTGTACAAGTATCGAGCGTGGTTACCGGAAATATGTACGGAGGAACATTTTTCGTCGGTAGTTGCTTGGAACGGAAGTTGGTTGGAACGGTAGTTGGTTGGAACGGACGTTGGTTGGAACGGTAGCTGGTTGGAACGGTAGTTGGTTGGAACGGACGTTGGTTGGAACGGACGTTGGTTGGAACGGAAGTTGGTTGGAACGGTAGTTGGTTGGAACGGACGTTGGTTGGAACGGTAGTTGGTTGGAACGGTAGTTGGTTGGAAGTTATAAGGTTTTAAAAATTTAAATTTGAATTCGCTTGTTATTCGACAAATAGACGGATAGATGTATGGATGGATGGATGGATGAATGAATGGATGGATGGATGGATGGATGGATGGATGGATGGATATAGATATATATATATATAAATGAGAAAAAGAGATATATCTAATTAACGTAAAGCACGTGAATATGTCTAGTAATAAAAAGTGACTATATTAATCCATACACGTAAAAGGATAGAACCTTCAATCTAGAAATGCATCCCACTAGCAACTTTCATCATCTCGATCACGTGATTACTTTCATAACCAAGGACGCGAAAATTCAGCATCTTAAAAACTTGCAAAAACCACCACGTGGCACGGGTTGTATAGCATGGCACCAATTAACTTTGTGACGACACAAACACAAGACAAGGGGGGAGTCCACTCTAGGCGGAGCACACATGCTGCAACAGGAGGGAAAATAACTACACTTTACTTTTAAAACAGTAATATTGTCCCAATGTCTCACTCGCACTTTTCCTTGAAAAGCACAAAATAAATCAATCAATCTTCTTTTAACAAATTTAATTTCAAACAAACTTTCTTTCGAATAGATTTAGCATTGAGCCATTAGAGAGAAGGCGCTACTAAAATACCTCCTTCCCTCTCATAGTGTTACCTTATTAGTCTCTATCAAATACCCATTTGTCACGTCTATTAATGATGTATTTGTAATTTAACAGCACAATCTTAACACCCCCCCCCCCCCCTTTCCAAAAAAAAAAAAAAAAGTGAATTTAAAAAAAATGAAAAAATCCGACTAAAGGTTATCTTTTGGTTGGCTTGTTAGTGCTAGTCGTGGTTGTATTTCTTTTGATTTCGTGGTTTCAAAACGGAGAGGAAAGCAAGTGGTCAACGGCAGTTTTTGATATTAAAACAAAATAAAAATATATTTATTTAAAAAATGAAAGTATTCAAATGATCTTTTGTTTAAGTCGCATTCAGGTAGAGTTGTAATCATTGAAATATCCTCACCGGCACCAGGCACAGACACATTGCAAATCCCCTCTACATGCATAGGAGCCAAGATGATCAATAAATTGATCGTGGGCCCTTAATATATAGAAGAAGAAGAAGAAGAAGAACTTCTCTAATAAGAGAAGAAGAAGAACTTCTCTTATTAAGGTAAACATATAATTTCCAAGACATACGAAGAGAAATTTAATTAGATGTAGTATTTTATAGAATGAATGACAATGTCTAACTTATGTGTTTCATGGTCTGTCTTTATTGGCCCGAGTAAAAAGAAAGTGTCCTGGGAACACACGTGTTCACTGATGGTTCTTTGACAGTTCACTGACAGTTCATTGACAGGGTTGCGGCGATTAATCGGTTATAGGTAATCGGCCAATTCGCCCCTACCCCCCCCCCTTTCCAGGTGCAACCCTAGTCATTTAGTCACTGAAAGATTTGAAAACAACCACGACCTCCTTCTGATTTAATAAGTTACCTTCCTGTTTCCGGATCTGCCTTCTCGGTGATGGTTCCGTTTGACCCAGATACGATCTTCAACTCGTAGTTTCCCAGATCTTGAGGGAGTTTACAAAAAAAAAAAAAAAAAGAGTTGTTATTGTTTTTACGACAATGTCCAACCATGCGTCATTCCCCCCACCCCCTTTAAAAAAAAAAAAAAAAAAAGATTTTTTATTGTTTTTACGACAATGTCAACCACGCCCTCCTCCCCCCCCCCCCCTTCCACCCCCCAAACCAACCCCCCCCCCCCCCACTCCTCGGGCCATAAAATTCAAGAAGAAAAACATAAATAATTTATTACAAATAAAAATAAAATAATAAATAAATACAATTATAAAATATATTTTGATCTAATTAAAATAAAATCAATAATTATCACTTCGCTTTCCTTAATGTCCCAATGGCAAGAGCTATTCTCAGTGAGGCAGAATCCAATAAAAATAATTCATCCCCCAATTCAAACCAGTGAGATGTTCACGCCATTTGAGCACTTCAACATGGTTTGTGAGGACACGAAGTTGGATCTATATGTAATTTGAATATGGTCATTTCTTATGCACAGATGCATCCGAAGAAAAAAATTCAGAACAAGTTCATATGGGGTAGGGGTGGGGGAGGGAAAATTATATAAAGATAATCAAAGTCTTTAAAAAATAAGACACATATTTTTTATGGCTGGTGTCCTGTCTGTTAAAAAAAAACTATATTTCAATTAATTGTGTCCATTCTTTTATTATTCCCCAACTTTTTTTTTTCTTCTCCAATTTGTGTGCACACTATCATTTATTATGGTGCAGCAACCAATGGCATTTTTAAGTAATTGTGACCTATTTGGGACCCCCCCCCCACCTAATGATCCCTTGAAATGTCTGTGGCAGCGGTTGTCAACCTGTGGGTGCAAACCCCTTTGGGGGGTCGATTGACCCTTACACAGGGGTCGCCTAAGACAATCAGAAAACACATACTCATGAAGTAGCAAAGAAAATAATTTTGTGATTTGGGGCTCACCACAACATGAGGAACTGTGTTTAAAGGGTCGTGGCATTAGGAAGGCTGACAGCCACTGATCTATGGCATTTATAAATGACTATAAATTAATTCGTTAATTTGACCGTGGGTTAACAGCAAATGAGCTGACCTCCATTGACCTTTTGCTGACTGGCCTTGCTGGTGCCCTTCAACTGGACCAGCACGGCCTCCGCTATGGGGATCATCATGGCTGTGGTGGCGGTGTTGGAGATCCACATGGACAGGAACCAGGTGGCCAGCATCATTCCCAACATCAGCCTGGAAGTGATAGCCCAGTCATGTCAGTTATGTCAAAGCATTTGAACTTTATACAATTGCTCTCAAATTAGAAGGGTTTTTTTTTCTTTCGTTTAAAAAATGGGGTACAACCACGTAGTAAATATCATGTTATTTTTGCACAGAAAAGGTTCTAGGAAACTGGTTCTGATTTCATAATATCAGTGGCCGTTGCCATGGTTTTAAAACACGATACCGTGAATTGAAAGGAAATAAATTATTCAGATTAGAAGACATCAATTTAAAAAAAAAAAAAATTATTATATCTGTTTTAATAGCCTCTAATCAACTTACTGGAGTTTAGAATCAAGAAAATTTATTTTGGAACAAAGCAGAATTAAAAAAAAAAGTAGGTGGCAACCAGTGGCAGGCTACTTTGTTTTTTTTCAAAATATTTGGACGGACCCTATATGGTGCAGTGATGCCATTTGGCAACATTCCTATCAAAGAGGGATAAGAATTGTAAATTTAAATCAGGGCTAATTTTTAAGTGGCCTCCCTTCAAATGTGTTCTATTTTTAACCGTTCGACGTCATTACACTTTCCTTTGTGTTCTAAGCAAGCCTGTCAGAGGTCAAATTTGTGGCGTGTCTCTTCACTTTTGTTCAGCACTGATAAGGTAAGTTTAAATAATTAATATTTCACTCCCCAACATGCATTTATGCTTTTAAAAAATATTGTAATATAAAACATTCAATTTTGAATGTATATAACTATCATTTTCGAATGGAACTCATGCAGTTATATTTAGTTTGAATTTTAACGGTGTGTTGCCATTTGTACTCATAGCGCAATAGAGGTTTCTTTTTGAGTATGTTCCCAAATGGCAACATAGTTACATAGTGTAATTTTTTTTCCTTTCCATTACAAATTAATAAGGAACTTTGAATATAACCATCTAGTTAATATCTTGCATTTTATTATTTATAGTTAATACAGTTCATACAGGTATACACTATGACTATAATATTATAATATTATAATTACATAATAATGTAATGGTAATAATAGTGAAAGCATCAATATTTTTACTAACACAACTAAAAGTTGTAGGCAGTGTAGGCCTATTTATTAAATTTAAAGATATAAATCAAAATACTTTCCCCACTTTTCTCTACAGATTATGGACCCCAAAAGTTTTTATGGTAAAAAAGCAAATACAGTTCATATTAGAGAATTGCCAGAGGACTCGGAGGACAGTGAACTTTCTTCAGATGAAGAGGACCAGTTTGACGAAGACAGTGATGTCCCAACTGTTTCTAACTCTAATAGTTCTGATTCAGAAACAGATGGTAAGCATAGTCAGTATAAATAGTGTAATTATACTACTAATATAATTTTGGCATTTAAAAAAATGTAAATGATTTAGCAATACATGGCATAAATATTTTGTAAGATTGCATATAAATATTTTTAAGAAACATGTATTGATGTTTGAATTACAATTATACCGGTAGTGTTTTATTTCTATAACTATAACTGGTGTTTAAAATTTCAGATGAAAGTCAAGATGAAGCTGCAGCACGGACACAAGCTTCAGTCGGCAGCTCCAGAGGAATACTTTGGAAGCAGCGAAAGGAAGGCGCTGAAATAACTACTACCATTCCAGAATTCCTTGGCAAGGAAAGGGAACCTGAGACACCTGGTACCCCCATAGAATACTTCAAAAGTATTATAGATCTAGAGATTCTAGAAAAAATCATGGAAGAGTCAAATAGATACAGTATTCAAAAGGACATTAATCGTCCACTGAACATTACGAAGGATGAACTTGAGCAATTCTTTGGAATTATTTTCTATATGAGTATATGTAAACTGCCACGAGCCCGTCTGTACTGGGGCTCTAAAACAAGGATACCGTATATAGCCGATACCATGTGTCAAAAACGTTTTGAGCAGATTAAAAAAAATCTTCATTTTGCAAATAACGAAGAAGCCAATGGAGATAAATTGCACAAAATAAAATTTATTGTCAATGCTTTCAAGGCCAAGGTCAACAGCTTGCCCAAATCAAAACTTTTAAGTATTGACGAGCAGGTTATACCATTTAAAGGGAAATCATCCCTGAAACAATACAACCCCAAAAAGCCTAAAAAGTGGGGTTACAAGGTGTTTGTTTGTTCTGGCCACAACGGTCTAATACACGATTTTGAACTTTACACAGGGAAGATAAATCCATGCCCAGGACAACCTGACTTGGGGGCATCATCTAACATTGTTCTTCGGCTCCTTAATGATGTTCCTCGAAGTGTATTTCGATAATTGGTTTAATTCTATTCCCCTACAAGCTACACTTTGGAAGGATGGCATAGCTTCTCTTGGGACTATACGTTCCAACAGACTGAAGGGCTGTACATTTCCTTCAGACAAGGAACTTTCAAAAAATGGCAGAGGTACCAGTCTCTTAAAAACTGGATCTTTTGATGATGTCGAGTTAAAAGTGGTCAAATGGGTCGACAACAAGGCTGTTACTCTACTTAGCACTTTTGCGAGTATAGAGCCAGTGAAAAAGGTTAAGCGCTGGGACAAAAAGCAGAAGATGGAAATTGAGGTAGACTGTCCTTCTATAATCAGTCTGTACAATAGTTTCATGGGTGGAGTAGACCTCTTGGATTCTCTTGTAGCCCTATATAGAAATCCAATCAGATCTAAGAAATGGTATCACAGAATTATTTTTCATATCTTTGACCTGGCTGTTGTTCAGTCATGGTTGATTTATGGTCAAGATTTCAAGCATACAGGACTACCAGAAGCAACAAAATTGTCTCTACTAGAGTTTAAACTAGAAATCGCACAGTGCTTGATGAATAAAAACAAAATTCAAAATCAAAAGAAACGTGGTCGACCCTCAATAGAAATTGAGCCACAGATACAAGCAAAAAAACATAGAGGTCCCACGGCTGAGGTTCCAATTTTTCCTATTCGAACTGACAATGTAGGCCACTTTCCTCTATCTGTTCCTGATAAGGGTCGCTGCAAAATGCCTGGCTGTAAAGGCTATGCCAGAGTAAAATGTGAGAAGTGTAAGGTGCATTTGTGCCTTACACAAAGATCCAACTGTTTTCGAAAGTTCCATCTACCATAAAAATTGTTTGTTCTGTATAAAAACATTTTCTATAAAATTTTGTAGAACAGTCATTAAATGATTTAATAATATTTAAACTTGTTCTCTCATTTCTTCTTAAATATTTCCATTTAACATTTGTTTTTAGTGTAAATGTTATTATTACAGTGATTTGTTGCCATTTGGCAACATTTGAGTTATCCACCCACAACGGTACACTGTTGCCATTTGGCAACATAGCTACAAAAGCATTATTTAAAAAATTTTTATCAAAAATAACTTCAGAATCTTAACTAATATCCTATTTAAGACCTGTGTTTAAAGGGAAATTTTTTTTTTTCAGTTGTTAAGTATAGTGCACCATATAGGTAAGAGTTAACCACGATGCCTTTCTAAGCTTCACACAACTGAATGGCCAAGTGTTCTGGACGTCGACTCAACATTAATTAAATATTTGATTTAATTCAAAGTCATCTGCTTGTTACTGTTTTTTTTAAAGCTTCAGAATTATTAAAGAAATTAGAGGGGAAAAAAAGTTCGCCTAAAGGAAAGATTTCAAATTTATAATATAAAACTATGCAGCAAGATCAGTGGCGTAGCTAGGATTCGTTCCGCGAAGGGTGGGCCAAATTTTATCTCCACCTCCTTCAACGAAAAAAACTCTGTAGTCGGCCGAAACTCGCCAACCCATTTTTTTCATATATAAAAAAAAAAATTACCACTCGGAGCAAGTAACCCCCCCCCCCCCCAACGCACCCCCTTTCCTACCCCACTGACAAACCTACATTCACATGTAAGCACATAACCCTTATCTATCGTCCTACCATCTCGGTTCAGCGCCCACTGCCATCAGCACCAACAGCGCCACACGTTTGTGAAGATTCCAGTACTCTATGGCTGTAGCCATGATCAGACCGCCCACAAACAGCATGTTGGTGTCCTGATGGCAGAGAATAGTCAGGACGTCAAACTCAAGTTTTTT